ACAAAGTTCTTCAAATTGTTGATACCAGACATCTTTTATTTATCATTCTTAAATAATAGAAGGTATCTACATCACCAGCGATCCAATTAATCAAATACTTAATCCGGCTGCAGTCCTCAAATTTACTTAAGGTCCTCTGGTCCAAATGGACCCATTTATTTTCTATTGCACTTTATTTACTTTTTCAACGATTAGATTTAGTGTACATAATAGGAAATTAAAATTATACACGGGAATTTCAATTAAGCGCATTTATTTTATTTTCGAGATTGTGCAGTTAAGTAAAACAGTGGTCACCTGTACAAAATGCATTGTGGTAAATTAATGAAAACGAAGCAAAACTAGACAATTGTATTGCACACACAGGTATGTAATACAATTTTTCTAGTTTTGCTTTCGTACAAATAAATGTTTCGCTTTTTTACAAATAAATGTTTTTATTTGGAGCAGTGCAAAGCAATTTTGTTGTCTGTTTCGCAATACAAACAACCATCTTGCAAAACATTTGAATTGATACACGATATGTCTAGTTTGTTAGATAAAACAATACGCCACCATTCGTTGATTTTTTTGTTTTCTTTAGATTTGTTTTCGCACATTGTTCCATCGAAAGTGATGTCCCGTTTCAGAAGTTTCTGACCCAACTGATATGATGTAAAAAAATTGTCACATGTTATATTGTGACCCTTCAGACGTAAAGATATTTTGAACACAACTTTCGTTCCCAGGTATTGTTCTTCAGGTTGTCATTGATTGCCAGTGTATAATTGAACATTCCATACGTAGCTTGTTTCATTGTCACTAAGAACCAAACAATTCCCTCCGTATTCGGCAGATACTGTCAAAAGGGACGATTGCCTACAAGACGACTAATCATTCATCGATTGTTACATAGAACCCAGGATTATACAAATCGGAAAAGGAAAAATCAAATCTGAAGACTACGTTCAAATACTCGAAAGATCTGTTTGCCATTGTGCAGAGAGCTGCGATTTTGCCAGCGAATGGAGTAGCTGTTCTTACAACTTCGATAACATATTGCTTGACGAAACATTATCATACGCCTTATCAGATGATAAAGTCTCAGACGACAATACGATCCTTCCGTAGGTAATTCGTACGAATTCGCAGTTATTATATGAGTTCTAACAGCAGTTCAACTTGAGAAATGCAACGGTCGCTAAAGGTACTCGAAGAACATGTGTCAGAAAAATCGAAACATCTTTCGTATTAAAAATAAATTAATAACATTTTTACACGGACAGATATCAATCAAATAGTGATAGTCGGAGAGTAACAGAACAATAACACAATTTTCTTAAGTTACACAGGAAATTAAAATTTCATTTGGGTCTAAATGGATCCGAGGACCACAGCGGGGTTAATCGTGAGAGACCATAAGTGGTCAATTGGTGACTTTGTAAGTGGCATTAACAAAACATTTAAAAACTCTTGAAAACGGGACAGTTATAAATACAACAGACCTATCAAGCTCTTCTAAATAAGGGGGGGATTAACTTTTAAAAAAATTAAAAAACTGACCGTTTGCCTCTACTTTAGAATTTTGTTCCAAAACTACTGACCTCAACTCTCTTTTATTACAAACGAAATCATGACAATTCCGTCGCTTTAAATACCATCACAAACTAGTGCTTTCAGAGACAAATCTCATGGAATGGCATATTTCCGGAATTTAATTTTCCTGTGTGACGTTATTCTCTTGCTTTTCCCATATTCGAACTTTTTATTTATGAATATACAATTACGGAGATGACAGCTGAAACATCCGATGCTTCAGCATCCTCAGAACAGGGCGCCTGCGTTGTGATTTGCGCTCTTTGTACTGACTGATTATTTCATGATTCCGGGCGCGTCAATTGCTGTAATCATTAGTCACGTAAGTGTAAAGAATAATTTAGTCCCGAAGTGTCAAGTATGGTGGTGATCGCTGTGTTCTTCCCCCGCCGAATGGCGAGATCCGTCGCCGACCTACACTCGCGACCGTTTGCTGAGTTTTCCCCACCAAGAGTGACCAGCGAGGCACCGCCCCCAATCTGGAGAAGCTCTACGCTCCCGACTGGACTCCCGTCATGTGTGGTAGTGTAGTGCATGTAAGTGTAACGGTGAGCACGCTGAAAATTGCTACAATAGTTGGTTAAAAGAAATTAGCACATTTTGCATTACTTTCTTCTTAAAAATTGCGTGTATCACACGCAACCTGACCAATTTCTAAGCCACACTATTAATTCGAAACCTATACAATATAACTTCTTGTTGTTACCATACAATAAAGATTCTGAATAAATATTAAATACATAAACAAAAAATTATAAAATGTACACAATATTTTAAAATGTTAGAACAGCAATAACATTCACTTCAAAAACTATTCACTAAAATCTTACAATATTATTAACAATTTATTTCATGCAGAAATAAAGAATGCTATTTACAGTTTATGAAATAAAAAGAGAATAATTAACTTTCTTAACTGTGAAAATTTAACCTAATGATTTGATTGGAACCTAAAACAGTAGAAACAAAATCTATTTTACCGAAAAAATTACATTTTTAAATTTAGGTTTAACAAAACTAGTGATTCATTAATATTCCAAATTTCAGATTGACATACTATAGCCTATGGATGGAATTTGTTTTCAAATTTTTAAAAAAAGTCTTAAATAAAGATTATCAAGATATTTCCTAAACTTTATTTTGAATAATATGACTCCCACAAAATAGGAAATTTCCAAATGAACTCTGACTAAGTATGATAAAATCACAAAAAGTAATATTAAAAAAGAAATTAAACAATTATAAAAAATCAATCTAACGAATAATAAAGTTATCATTTGTCTCCAAAATCAAATAATTAAATATTCATGAAACGTACCTCAGAAATATTTTCAGCACAACTTAAAAAAGACATTATTTTAATTCCTTCATTTATCACTAATACACTTAAATTCTGCAGCAACAGCAGTCATTGTGAATGTCACAGAGATATATCAACTTAAAGAAATTAACTTGCCCCCAAACATCTATGTAGGACACAGGAACATAAATTGAGATACAAAATGCCTTAAGGCTGATAATCTTCCACCACCCTAATCTTATCAATTCTACATGGATCTAGATATTTCCACAAGGGAAAAAAAAATAATAAATTAACAAGTTCGATCATTGTTCATTTAAAATGGTTATTTCCAATCCTTCACAAAAAGGTAGAATACACATGGTATATGTAAAAATTAAGACACATGTTTTTCTTCTATTTTCAAATATGATTACAACTATTGTAAAATGCCAAACGAAGAACGTAATATTAGTAAACAGACACAGATGACAAACTAAACAACTACTCTATCTAACAACAAACACTTCACAAAAAAAACTACTCTGAATTCAATATCAAAATGAGAGAGACGATCATTTTAAAAATTGTTTGCCCTGTTATGGGGGGAGCATTACACATTTGCCTTTGCAATGGATAATGTCTGACAACATTGTGAACCTCATTGAAATCAATTAAATAAACATTTTAAAATGTATAACAAACAAATTTTCACAACATAACAATACATTCATGGCATATAAAAACCACTAATATGAACATAAAATGGAATTTAAAACATTCAGCTTCAAAAGTTTCATATTACATTAGCCTATTTATTTCAAGCCAACAGACATGTTAATTTTCAAACCATGAAGTCAAATGTCAAAGCACCTCCCAAAAAAGATGCTACTCGTATGCTAGTTCATAATATTTTAAAACAAAAGTTGATCCAAAACAACAGCAAGACAAAATTTGTACAAAATGGTAACCAAGAATTTAATTCTTATGTTATGCCAATGTGTAATTCTAAAAAAAGAAAAACTTATTATACCTACATCAGTACATATACTTACACATTCAACTGTGCTAGTTGATGTTATGAAGTATAAATAAAAACATTCATTGCAATTTTAAACAATGAAAATTACAGAATATATTGAGCAATATACTACTCAACAAATATCTACCCAACAAAACTAGCACCTGCAAAATACATTTTCTCTCAATATTTACAAATGAGTTAAGTGATATGATGAAAGCATGGGAACAAAAATATTACTATATTGGCAACTACTATGGCATGTTATGGGTGAACTTTACGGGAAGAAAATGCATTGAAATGGATACAAATGTAAACTACGATATACGCCAGGTATCATTAGGTTCTACGTTCGTCATTCACCCCACGTACAATTGACACATTCTACGGAAGGAGTGGCACATTTTTCATTACCTCTTTACGTGTAGGAGCTGACGGTAGCGCCAAAGTGACACACTCTCCGTAACTAAATAAGATGTTAAATATTAAATACCCTTGAGGGACGAGAGGTGTTAGTCATCATTTATTTACACGGCACAAATATCTTCCTTAGCAATATATGTACACACCACGAAGACGTTCTATCTCACCAACATGACAGGAAACGTGAGTGAAGAATAACTAAGTTACGCCTTTCACTGTGATAATAAGTCGAAACTACCCAATCTAACGAAAATAACATGACAATCATTTACAAATGACATACCAAATTAATGATTAACTAACCTGAAATTGACGAAATCCATCGTACTGTATCACCAACTACTTGCAGAATTCACCGGATTACTTCCCACAATTCTCCAGTTGCGAACAACAGCGTATCGGCACGCGGAAGCGCTGACGAATTTTCGCTGCAAAACAGACCGTCTTTTTATCATTCTCGGATACCCAGCATCTGCCTTCCATCTGGAGTTTTTCTCTCGTATAATTCTACCTGAAATTTACTATATTTTTGATTTTGGGGCCCCTGTCCCATTGTCTCTCAGTAATGTCCCTTGCTTTATTAAAGCCTACTTACAAGGGCTACTAACACCAAAAGCTCATGATGCATTTTTTCTAGTCAGCTCGTGTCAATATCCCTGGAAATGCCATTTATCCCAAGGTTAAATAAAACACTGAACAACAGTTACAACTTTCCATTCATTGTCAATCATTTCATTACAGTATTTCATACAAGATCACACTAAAGATTATACATCAGCTACCCAAACACTATCAAGACAACATTAAGCTCACATACATGAGATTATTTTCTTGAGAGTATTTCTCCCATTGGAACTTTACTCAAAGTTCTAGGATAATTGCATTGTAAATATATTTTCATTACACACAATGCAGACAATTCACTTTTGATCTGAAATTTATAATATCATTCTTTCTTAAGATTATAAATTCTTCAAACTTAACTGAATAATGTAATTCCAACAAAAGCTTCAATTATTGCAACATATACAGATTTGGCATTTTTATTTTATATACTGTACACTAATAGTCATCCTCTACACTTGGAATGAATCATTTTCTAGAGTATTACACAATTATGATATTTTAAGACAATACAATTATGCTTGTATACATATTCACTTGACACTTATTCATCTTCAGCACCGTGTTTCATAAAGGCCACTTCGTCCAATATAACGAACCCATTTGATAACGTCGTGGTCAGAGTAATTCAGCTTTGGCTCAAAAACCTTCAAATACCGGACTTTGAAGCCAGAAGGAGCAAACGGAACCTGAAATACATTATGAAACACTGCCTTAATTAATACATTCAATTATATAATCAGTAATAGTGAAATTCAATGTCGCATTAAAACTAAGTATGAAAAGTTAATGAACTTGCAAAAATTATTAAATAAGTTTAAAAAATAATGAGCATGTAGATAACTTGCCTCAAAATTCATTGATATTGGTGGCCGAGTCCATTTCTTCTTGGTATCCGTTTCCAAAAGTTCAATTTCAGCCGACAACTGCGTTTCCTTCATTCCAGCCATACGTTTTATCCTTTAAAACAAAAAGTTGTATAAACACTAAGAACACCAAAAAAAAATTAAATTCATTATCTAAAGAAGGTAAGATTTAAATAGAGGACTTTCTGAAACTCCTATCAAAACAATGTTTACAGAATTTATTTTTCAAACTTTAACTTTATCCATAATATTTGTTACAACTACTCTCCTAAAAATCAGTAAATTTTGTGAAAATGAGGAAAGAAAATGGCTTTTCAAAACTCTGAACACATTTATAAATGATTTTCTTAATTTAGTAATAGGGATTTCTAGTACTTGAAGAATGAGTCTTTCCTTAGCTAGTTTATCACATCAACCTAATGAAAGTGAAAAAAAAAAAAATGTCAATACACCATACAATTTGTTACTACCTATTCTTCAGAAAATGAGGTGACATCAAAGACAAGTCTGGCAAAAGGGTAATTAAACCAATACTTTTCCAAATTAATTAATAGATATAATTATTCATACACCAAGATTAATCAGTTTACAATGATTATTAACATTTCCAACCTTTTTATTAATGAAGCAAGTTGCAACTGTCCTTAACTTTAAGACTTATTTAATCACACAAAATATATAAATAAATTACAGAAAGAATAAATGTCAAATGTACAAGTTTTTAACTCGCATGCCTTTCATTTGCCCCAAATCTTGAAAAAATGAGTTTTGCGTCTGTAGTACTCCACAATGCTTTCCTACTTTATTAAAATATTGTAAAATGGAAACCCCAATAACTATATATACAATTCTTTAATATTCAAGATATCTTATTCATGTTGCCCTCTTTCCCATTCATATCCACTGCGAGATTTCTCTACCAACCAATTATTCTTTCTGTTTCTTCTCTCTTTGTTATCCATTTGCACTCATGGTGTGTGTCCATCATCTGGTTTAACTATCTTTTATTATTAATGCACTTTTGATACAATTTTTTTAAAAAGTAGTTAGAAATTTCAATTTTTCTTCTCTTGTTATTCCACATATATCTAATGACTTATTTGTGCTGGATCTATTTGTTGTAAATCTCTTTTTTTAACATCAGTGTTAACATATTTCTATAATTACATGCGTTTTGAGCTTTTAGTATGTTTGGTCCTGCTGAATTTTTTTTTATTTTATAATCTTATGACTTTTGTTCTTGACAATATTGACTTTTGTCTTTTCTTCCATAGTTAAATCCCATTCTCCCATCTATGCTCTCATTTCATTTCCTTGGATCATTACTTTACCCTTCTTTATTGAAATATTATATTCCCTTATTTTCCACATGTGCCTGCTTCTTTTCGTTGTGCATTCTCCACTACTATAAATCAAGAACCTTAATGCTCTTGCGATTGTTTAGTAATCCTCTGTTGAGCTTTTCTTCTGTTCTATTTGCGGTCAAAACAAAGCAAAAGATCTGCTGGGCATGGTTTGATCGAGATATGATTTCTGTATCAGCTCAGGGTGTGTGTGTGGGTGCTGTTGTTGGGTTGTTTCTTTCCCCAGGGCACTAACAATGCAGTGTTGATAGAGGAGACAACCCTGACACATTGCACTACAAGAGACAAAAGCGGTAAGTAATTAAACAAATGATCTAAAAGGAACTTTTTGCAATGCAACCTTTTTATAAAAATGAATTTTTGTGAAAGGCAGAAACATAAGGTGAGAGAATACAAAGTCAAAAATTGCTTCAGAAGAAACTACTGGAAAAATAGAAAGATAGAAATAAATCTGCATGCAAAGTAGTAAGTGGAAAAACCAAAAATCTAAATTAATACAATTTAAAAAATTTCAAAAAACAAAATTAGCAAGTACACTTTTGGGAGCAAAAATAATCAGTTCAGGAATATCACAACAGTTCACCGAGTCAAATGCAAACAATGGTAATAACTAGATCATTTGGATGAAAGTTGAAAGTTCATTTTGTAGTTGAAGATCCAATTTATGAAGATTTCAACAATTTTTTAATGACTCAAAACTAACAGTTCATAATGTTAGGATATATGTTCAATGTTATGACAAACACATCAGAACCTCCAGGAGTTCAGCATACTCTGGCAGATTTACTCTTTCTTGTAGAAATTTGTCTTGAATCCTTTACGGAAACCACAATCTGAAGTGCATCAATATTTGATCAACTATTCTATAGTACAATTTATTTAGCATTTGATGTAAATCATCTGTTGTGGTTTCATCCAATCGAGAGCTTATATGTCACCAGTGACAGCACTATGGAGACATTTAAGATCCTGATTGGATGAAACCATGAACTGTTGATTTACGTGAAGTGCACAGTTAAATAAATCCTTGTATACAAATTTACATCTTCCCCTCTGCCTAAAAACCTGAGGTTTAATTTAGAAGGAATCCCATTTTGTGTCAAATTAACCCAATCTAAAATATAATGTATAAAAGAATTTCCTTTGCTTGAAAAACAGAGGTTCTGCATTTATTTGTCTAATATTTTTGTTTTATAATGAAGCTGCTTATAAAACACCCTACAACACAGAATGAAATAGGATGGGAATAATTTTGTACCAGTGCCCTGGAGAGCTGAATCACTGAAGGGAAATTTCCTTTTTGTATTAAAATAAAAAAAATAAATAAAAAACTAGATATCAGAACAACAGAAAGGAGGCAAAATGTAGTTTCTTGTCCATTTTTTTCCCTATATTTTAAAATGTTTTTTATTTTAATTTTGTAGCACCATTTTGGCATCAACATCTCTAAAGTCATCTTCTTGCCTATACACTGAATGCCCAGAACAAGTTGCTTCATCACTTCATGAAGCATAGCAATACAAGCAAATTCTAAGAAATATTTGCAAATATTCTCATACAAAAGAGAGGATTCCCCTATGATTGGAGAATCTTTTCCTCCATATGTTTGGGCATCTAGACATTTTAAAATATTACTTCTCGAAATGACATGCTTAAAATAGTAATGATAAGTTTAATTAATAAAAAATTTAACACTTACTTCCATACAATAGCATTTTCTGAAGCTTTGTATTTAGCTTTGCCTTTCATACATATCAGTTGGACACCAGAAGTGTTTAATGGAGTTGGAATCTTTACTTCTATTTTCTGACCCAACAATGAAGGCTTAAAATTCGATTTAAGAACTACTTTCACTTCCATTTTTGTGCGTCCCACTTCCCGAACCAATGGAATAACACGGAAAGGAAGAGAGATATCTTTAGTAGTACGATACCTGAAATTCACAAATAATTTCAGAAAGTAACACAAATGTTTAATTTCACCATATGATATACATAGACTACATACCTCATAAGCTCAAATTCACCATCTGGGGGTATAAAACTGATAGAATGTTCTGTCTCAAATTTTGAAAGCTTGACACACTGATGAAACTGGCAATCATCAATGACAACAACAGGTTTTCCGGAGCGAGCTGGGTCGTCCCCACCACCACTCAAACCTTTGCCCTTTGCTTCCATTACAATCTTGTCATTAATTCCAAATTTGCATTCTGGCATGCCAGACAGATAGGATTTCATCACAACTTTTCCAGCCACATGAGCAGAGAGCACTTGACCTACAACAGAACATAAAATTTAAAAAATGCAGTAATTACTTTAACAATGAAACTAGTACTGCAATAGGACAATCTTTCTCATATTACTTAGAATAGCTATGTAATTTTATAATACTACCAACAAGTTTCTGATTGAAAGTTATTGACCTTTATTGCTCATTTAAAAAAAAAATTATATTCCTCTACACACTTCTATCAACACAGGCTTAGGCTTTCTTTTAGCAGTTTTATAAGATTGTTAGAAACGAGAAATCATAACACTTTCGAGTTAGTATAAATAACTCGCCAGTTACTATTTAATTTGCCATCTTCTCATACTTTGAAAATGTGCCATGCAAAAGATGAACTAGGCAGGAAGGAAAAGTAATTTATTAAGGAAGACAGTCTCACAACCTATCAAAAAATTACTTTCAAATTTAATTGTTTTATTGTTTGTCAGATATTTAGTTTTCATTTGATGAAAGAATTATTCAAGTATCTGCAGAAGTCAGTTCTGATTTTAATTCTGAAGTTCTGCACATGGAAGCTTGAACTGAAAGAGAACAGTGCTGTGCCAACTTTCTTTTAGTATTTTGATTACATGAATCAGTCTGAATCGAGACAAACTTAAAATAGAAATGGTCCACAAGTTGACGCACGATGGAAACGTGCCTAGCTGCTGGGGGGATTTCTAGACCTGATGTTCTCAGAGGAACTGAACTAGTCACCTTTTCCATTATTCATTTAAGCTTAAAGCTATAAAGCTTATTGTTATTCATTACTATACGTTGGACTCGTGCTAAACATAAGGTTTTCTCACTTGCCCTGATGATGGGCACAACATAATATAGGTGAAAATTGTGGCATTATTACTCGATAATTTACTTGATTTGAAAGGTCAGTTTTGATGACTGTCAAGATATATTACACATAGTAAGATTTAACAATCGGTAACATCACTGATATAAAGACACAAATTCATTTTGTTTGACGTCTTATTATTTTTAAATGCCAGGCATTAAAGACCTTTCTATTTGCAATTCAAAGCTGTTTCACTCGCCTTGTGGTGACATTAGAAGGTTAACATACTCCAATACATCCAAAAATAGTTCATTTCGTCGATATTTAATTCCTTCACGTCTCCACCCAATTTGACCTGTAACTTGAGATGTAATCTGTGCTTGTTCCTCCTTTGTTTGAGATTTTATTCCTTGTTGGGTAATAAAGGTCTTCAACACGCCAGTGTCTGAATTTTGTGGATAACCAAAATCTAGGATTTCTGTAAATAAAAATGGGTTGACATTATTATGTAGTTGGTTTCAAAGAGTATTATTCTTTACATTGCAACATGTAATTTAAAAACTTCTAGGCCCTAATTATTTATAAAGTACTTAAAGTGAAAGGGGAAAAAGAAAGAAAATCCCATCCAGTTGAAAATTTAGAATCATAACAGTCTTAAATTTTCCCTACATTTTTTATGAGCTTAATGTCTCATATTATATGGTTCCTATTAGAAGAATTCCCTATTCTTCGTATTAGAAGATTTTTTTTATTGTAATTACCATCAAGCAGTTCATAAATTAACACAAAATTGTTCTTGATATTTTCTTCTGAAATTTTACCAAAGTATGACTGCATAACATCAATTATCTTCAGAAGAAATTCAAATACCATGGCAGCATTAACATTTTGTTTTGTTACAGCTGCTAACCAAATGTTTGCTCTCTGAAACAGAGAAAAATAACACTTTAGAACTCCTCCAATGATTTAAGGAATTAAAAAGAATTTTCAGCCAAAATGCAGGATGGCAAAATTCAAGCAAGAATACAGTATCAGAAATAACAGCAACTCAATTTACTAATTATAAATAAGGTTTCTTCACCACGAAAAATGAAATTAAAATCTGATATGAATAATATAAGTAAGAATATTAATATACAACCATAATTACTGATAAAAACCATCCTATCAATACAACCACAATCATATAACTGAATGAGCACAAGTTGCCCATTTTACAATACAAAATATTTCCATGGATTATGAAGAAACATTTCTTGGCATTTTACCTTATATCATAATTCATAAAGACCATTTTTAAAATCATTCTACTAGGAAAATAAATTCACAAGGTGTAAGACTATTTGATTGTTACTTTATTTAAAATTAATAAATCGGCACTTCATTTGGCTTCCCAAACCATATCTATACTACAATGATGTTCCAACAGCAATCCATTGGCTACAAGCAATACTACTAAAATATACCTTAATATGAAAAAACGATGTACGAGCTATGTTCGTAACAGGCGACCTCACTTGCTGTCTTGCATGGATTACATTCACTCGAAACGCATCAACTGCGTTACGCCCAATATCATCCCGATAAACACGGGATATCAAAACTTCCCCTTTATGATTATACACGAACAATCCGCCGATCATTTTGCTGTTCGTAACAGCTACCTGCAACAAGCATAAATCAATGGGCAAACTTCACATTCAAATAGTGTAGCCCACTCATGCTTTATATTTCTAAATGACTTAACACACAAAAACATTTCCAGATGAGTTTAAAAAATAACCAAAGATTTAATTACTAGTTCTTTTCAGGTCTACTACTTACCAGCTTCAGGAAATATCAAATTGTGCTAGAACTTCATGCTGAACAAATGCGTCACTGCAACTGCGGAAAAAGCAGAATACTATGAATTCTATGCAGCTCACTATTCGGACCTGGAAGTCAAATGATAAATTCCAATCTCGAAATGAAAGATAAGTGCCAACTGGACCCAACCGACAGACAGCAAAAGCCACCCTCCCACAATCATGGCTTCCTCCAGCTCGCTCACATCTCAATCAAATATTTCCAATCTGTTCAAATTTTGCATAAAAAAATCTTTACAATTTTGTGTTCAAAAAAATCATATCTTCAGGTTCAACATATTTTACTTTTTAGATAATATACTTGAGCAAATATATTAAAATAAAATTTACTTAATTTTACAAATCGATTATGGATGTGGAGTCAGTCGACCAACATCGGGAGAAAGTTATCGACCAGAACACATCGAGCTTAACTTCGCATGGTTCACATCCTTGAATTATGGGAATCTTATATTTCAATATCACGGCAGCTTGTATCATACGTATAATACTAGGAAAACTCTCGCCTCTGGCTTCAATGTAAATAGACGATGGTCCTGGTCACAATTGGATCGTACACCTAAGCTTATTCTCTGAAGTTGGTTTTCGTTTGTAATAAAAGAAAATCAGTTACAAGCACATAGACAGTAAAGAGTAAAATATACGTGATTAAGGTGCGCAACGGCACAGACAGTTGTGAATTTAACTGAACGTTAATGTTCCCATAAATTCGATTGAGATAGTTGCTTTGTGATAACGCTATTTTCGCGTACTATGACTTACATTTAGTAATAAGATCCAGGAAAAGTGTGCTTCACCTTTTATGTCTAAAAATGGCAGAAAATAATGCAGAAAAGCGTGTGCAAGAAACCGTACTTCGGCAAGATGTAGTAAGCATACATCAATTTTCGTGCAAGTCATGCCTAATCATATTGACTCTTAAATATTCTGTATTTAATTTCAGATTAACACTGCTGTTAATTTTCTTCAAAATCCCACGGTCCAGCGAAGTTCTCTGAAACACAGACAAGCGTTCTTGAAATCGAAAGGCCTTAGTGACGAAGAAATACGTGTTGCGTGTGAAAGAGCGACTGCACTTTTGGCAGAAAAACAAAACTTCAGTGTAAAATATTTTTTTCAAAAGCATTTGATCACAAATCAATGTGGCATCTATTTCAAATCATAGTTAATTTTCTCTTGATAATTTTTATTTCTAGCCTCCAGGAGTATTAACAAATATACCCAATGCAGCTGTGCCAATTTATACCCCCCAAGCCCAGTCATCTTGGTCCAAATTCAGAGATTTTGCTAATGCTATAGTTCTCATTGGTGGAGTCTCATATGGGATTTATTTGTTTTACAAGGTATGAAATATTAATGTTTTATTACATTAAGTTCCTTCTGTTTTGCAATATTAACCTTTTTATTATTATTATTATTTTTTTTTTTTAAGAAATATATAGTTCCCTGGCTGGTAGGAGGGAAAGGCCAAAAACCTTCTCTTGAACAATCTATTTCTCAGTTGGATCTTGCCATTGCTGCTTCTATTCAAGAGTTGCGTGATAGTGTGAATAAAGTTCATGCAGATTTGAAAACTTTACATGAACGCCAGACACGCTCTCCTTCTGATGGACCTGCCACTATTAAACAAATAGAAGAGTTGAAAAATGAAATTGCTTCTGTTAAGGGTCTTCTTTTAAATAGGTATGAATTTGTTTATATATTGTGGTTTCTTCTATGTTTATCAAAAATAAGTATATTTACAACCTTTCGACTGTTTTTTTTAGGAGTCAATTTGCTCCACCTGTTACAAAATCACCATTAACGCCTCCGTCCATACCAGCATGGCAACTGTCTGCTGCAGAAAGTGCAAAAGAGACTGAAGAAAGTCAAGGTGGCAAAGGAGATGCAGATATCGAGGATATTTGCCTTAGTGGCTCAGGTTCTAGTGAGACTGAAATGGTTACTAATAATGGAAGTGACAGTAGTTTGGAGATGATTAGAGAATAGGTTGGGTTACATGGATTATGGGTTTCATGTGAGAACTTCATGAAGCAGGTCACAATTAATGCTTCCTGATCTCCAGTTGCACGGAACATATTCATGGTCATTGTGTTGCATGTTTTTGTCTAGCTTTCACATTAAATGAACCTGCAAGAAACTGAAATAACTGTTTGAGATAATGCATCTGTGAAGTTCAAGAACTGTACAATGAATTTTATTTCAGTGTGTCTCACTTGTATCAATTACTGATGCATTTTGCTGTTGCAATAATACAGAACTTGGGCAATGATTGCTTCAGAATTCATATTTAATAATTTAGGGGACTGGAACACTATTTTATAAATACAATCTATCAATATTGTAGTTACCAATATTAATTTTTAGTAAATAATTACAAAAGACTGCTCGAAAAATCAGTTGCAAAACTAAATAAGAAATCCTATCACTTGCTTAATTTTTTTTTTCATGTAATTTCTTTCTAAAGAGGTGAACCAATGCAATAAATTACATAAGGTTTTGCCTGACCTAACAATCCTATGGTATTCCTCAAAACATATGAAATCTTCATGTTAGTGCAGTTCACGCTTTTGTAGGGTAAAGTTTGTGGGTTTTTCCCCCCTTTCCAACTCCCCTCAGCTTCAGTTACTTACACCTGACAAATGTCTCTAGGTAAAGTGTTAAAAGGGCCTTAAAATCAAGATGGAATTATTAATTCCAATCCTATTTGCATTCAGTTTCTTACCAACAAAATTCCATGCGAGTCACAAATTGAATACAATATCAATGATATTCGTGCATATGAATTCAAATATACTTTCCAAAGAATCCTATGTTTGTATAAACTTTTTATCATTTTACTTTTTTGCACTTGATATCAAAACTACATCCACAATGTCAAATGAACCAGAATAAAAGGACCTGTTTTCTTCATATAAGATCCCATAGTAAATTGTGTATGTTGCACTTTCTCACTAGACCATAATTTTTTTTCTATAGTCATAGGATAGTGCTGTTTAGGAAAACCATCCATTTGAATAAACATTGCTAAATGTTTACTTTGAAGAATAAAAGAGTGGTTGATCGTTGTTTGGACAAACGAGTAAAATATATATTTAATAAGTTTTGACATTTCAATCAAATTGATATCTTTATGCAAAATGCAGTTCTTTTGGAGAAATTGTTTCAGAATAATGATCCCTTTGTTTTACATGTTTTAAGTGACTTATTAAATTTGTGGGTTGTAAGCTACACGTTTATCACTGCAACTGTACTACGACTGAAGAGTTCAGATGTAATAACACACCCAAATTTTAGTATACCATTATGCTTTCAATGTCCTGTATGGGCACTCATTTATCCTTTGGTTGCCATATCTGGCCTATGAAAAATAACTTTATAGTATTATAAAAGGCGAAGTGAAAGATCTTCACTTCACCAGGATATCAACAAAGTGACTCCTTGCGTTTAAAAAGGTTTCAACAATATAAACTAGCAAACAATACACCATTTAAACTGTTGCTTCAGATTTATACCTAAGAAATGTGACAAAAGTGTTGAGGAATAATTTCTGATGGTTTCTACTTGAAAATTTACATTGAATCCAAATTTTAAACCATGATATATTAAAATCAAAGTTTGAAAACATTACTTAAGAATTTTTTTTTTCCAGTGAAAATTTACAGAAATAAAATACACAAAATTACTCCAATTATGGTAATTATCCAACTGCAAAATTTCTTAAAATTCATCTAAGTACAAACAAAATGTAGTGATTCACAAAGCATTAGAAGAAAGAAAAAAAAAAAAAACGGTTGCGATTTGATCAACATTTTACTTCACAAATATTACAAATTATACAGACGTAGAGCTCTGTATGTACGTAAAATGAAACGTTTCAGCTCACATCACAAACGTACAGGTATTCAATTCGCTATGTTCACTTAATACATCACAATTATCTCCTACTTGTACTTATGTGAATTCATCACTAAAGTGACTCAAAACAGTTATGCAACTTTCTTCCGAAATAAACATTCATTTATCATATTCAAATGTATTTACAAAAACATCACAAGTAAGAATGCCAAACAGTATCACATCCATTATTTAAAAATTACTAGGAGCAATTCATTTCAGTCTACAAAGGGAGAGCTCAAACGATATAAATAATTATCTCACTAGTACACTCATACGAATCCAACAAAATGAGTCACTAGATCTTAATTAAAATACAAATAAAATTGTACTCTTTCATATCACTCCATTGTCTCACTGGCATCACATACTTGCACACTACCTTTCTACAACTGAAGGATCAGATACATGAAAGGGGATAACAAATGGTATTCTTTTATAGCATTTGCAAGTCTACACATCAAACTATCTTTCCAACATATAGGTCCATAGATCACGAAATAAGGGAACTTCAATTAGCTTTTATTAACACAAGAAATTAAAAATAGAGGAATCAAATTTATATATATACATACAGTGACTTCAGAAAACCATGTTTTTGGAGGCTACCATTCCTCACCACCATATTGAACAGTGAATCTGGGAGATCAAGCACTACTGACCTTTTGCTTTCTTTCATCCCAACCTCAAACGAATGAAATTTTGCACCATCATAATATAATTCATTGCATAAAAGAACTATACTCACATTCGTTACTACTCTGTACATTGGGAAGTTCATACACTAATTGTTACAATGCCTGACAGAATCAAGCATTCTATGCTATATTTACAGCAATATCTGCAATGTCCTTACCAGGGATTTCAACAACAATGAAGTCCATATTTCTATCTGAGAGAAGCATGTCAAAACAGAAAACACGTGATTTGGGGCTCTTGCAAAATCTTACAGAAAAGAAAGCAATAAATCAAATTGTCACTAAAACCTCAAAAAATGGTCTTGAATACAACAAACTTTTTTCATGCAATGTTAACACAACATACTGTTTCAAAAACTCAGAATATAATTTAATCAAGAATAGGAATTTTCACTCCTTACAAAAAAAATAACACATATAGTGGAAACATTCTAACACAAGTAACAATGACAAATTTAAAAAAAGAGAAATAAAAAACCAGGATTCATGTATGAAAATAAAGAGTAATAAAACAAACATTCTTCAATGATTTTTAAAAGACTGAAACTTCAAAATAGCAAGAGCTATCTCTATTTTGTTTAATTGGCCAAAAATTTAAATTCTTCATCCAAATAAGTATTAGCATAAAAGATCAATAACAAATCTTGATTACCACCAGCATTTTTCAAAATAATAACTTCATTCTTGAATAGAAAGAAAAACTGACATCTTAAATTAGAAATTTAAAGTTTAAAAAAGATCAGACAAATGTTAAAAACAAGAGATTATAGATGGAAGCTTCTCATGATAAATTTTAAGAGGTAACTGTTACCCTGAAATTCATTCCCAGCTACTCTACTGATCCACTCTGCCTTGCTATGAGTAGAATTTCCCCTCAGCAGGATTTTGGAAGCCAATGCAGACAAAATTCAAAAATTAAGTGTACTCACATCATCACGAATATATACAATTATTATCTAACATACTGCTTGGCATACTTAGCACTAGTAAAGATTTTCTTTACACACTCATGATTTTACAGAGCATAGGTGCACAGTAGGGTAAAATTTCATTTGATACACAACAAAGTTTTATTACATTAACGAGTAAAAAACTTTTGAGTTATGTTTCTTCATATATCTTTTATAGCTTCTTTTTTAACACTTCAACATAACCAGTTTTCTGATACAGAAAACAATAATTAATTATTTCAAAACTGAAATCTATAATTATTTATTACTTGATAAATTCTAATCTGATGTGTCAAGGATAAAAAGATCCAATATTTGTGCCATTGTTCACTTAATATTTGTATTTCTCAAAAAGACTTCACCATGGAGACTCGAGGACTTTAATGTAGGAACCTGCAAGTTGGCAGTAATTGGAATAAATTATTTTAACATACTATTCACAATTAACCACTGCACACAGTCAATAATGTTGAAGGCTGATTATTTTCATGATAGATGTCCTATCATTCTGTAATATCAATTGCTCTAAATCAAAAAATGTATCATACTTAAATCTAAATCCTCATTTGTCATGTTATTCTGTGCAGGACTAATTTGTTTTATATATATTTATCATAAATTCAATGATGACCTGAGTCCCTGTAAAAAAATATTTTTCTCCTACTAAAATCTTAAATGTATTGATAACAATGACTGTTTTGTCTGCTATCAACATGACATTGCATAGATATTGCATCATTGCTCAGAGCACCAAGTAACTGAACTACAAAATTTCACATGAATTGAGAAGTAAAGGTATAACAAAATTGTTAAACACACTTGCAATAAAACAACAAGGTATGTTATAAAGAAGGATCATTTTATATGAACACAATAATGTTCATAGTTCCAAAAATAAAAATGAACATAAAGAAAAAGTCTCCATGACAAGTAACTAGAAGTTTAAAAATGAGAAACACTTTTATTTATCCACAAGGTGCAATGTGAAATGTCTTATGAACACTGTTTGTAGTCATTGCTGCAGCCCATCCCACACACTCACCCACATTGTGCTACCAGAGGCGATGGAGGTGAAGGTTGCGACTGAGCACACTCCGAACATCCTGAGTGAATCTCAATGCATCTAACACAGGTAAAAGATTCAGTAAAGCTGTATCCATTGGGTCACTAAACCAAGATTTTATAGGGATGGCATTATCTGAAAATAAATGGATGTCCAATTCACATACATAGCTAACATTAACACAGAGCAAATATTAACATTTCAAAGAATTCTATTTACAAATTATCTCTACATACTATTTTTAAGCTCTAAAGCCTTCCCTTTTAGGTACTTAAAATAGGTACTTTATTGGTAAATGGATAATTTAGGTTTTTAAAGGCAAAATGCACATTAAATTTTCTTTAATATACCATACTAAATGAGATGAAAGTTCCTTTTCAGAATATTATTTTATATCCATCAGTTTTATTGCCTGTATATTAAAATATTAAAGGAACAAAAATAAAGATGCAAATACTAACACAATTATAGCAAATAGAGATACAAGCATATAATGAAATAAAATATATATCTAAAAACTCTACAATAAAACTATTTTCCATAATTTGCTTCACAATTCACTCTACACAGCTTTTGTAAATAACAAGATTGGAATGTTTTTTGTTTGTTTTCTCCCCTTGAAATCTTTGGTCAAGCAGAAAATTAACTTTCCATTTCTACATTTGTGACTGGTGCATATTTTTTGAATAATTGGCAGGTTTCACCCTTTACTATTTTTCATGCTGAGCATATCCACGATAATTAAGGATTTTTTTAAAGATGTTCGCTTCAGGTTCGTTCTAAAAATCAATCAATTTCACTCAATGTAATCAAATGCTCACCTAGTTTTGTTGCCCCTCTGATAGTTTACATAAATGTCCAACTCTACAGTACTTCTACTAATTACAAGACAAAAATATATATTTAATTGGATATAAAGAAGCTGGATTGTAATTTTAGATTATCACTAGCAAGAAAAAGCACAAACTCTTTGCAATGATGTTCTGAGCAAAGAAATGACAGATCTCCCACGCCTTGAAATGAATCGATTAAGGGGGGGGGGGTCAACAAATCACTATAGGAAACTAAAAAATCCATTGTGTGATACTTAAGAGACAAGTAGGAATTTCTAGGCTCTAATTGTCAAATAGGTATTTTTATGCACTACAGACGAAGTTTCCGTAATATTGAAATGAAAAATGTTTCAAATTAATTTTGAGTGTCTACACCAATATAGGCATTTTTGCTATAAATCCAATGTCTAATTGTTACAAATCTTAAATTCCCCAAATTGCCTAAAAAAATAAATTGCTGGTTCTCTTTTGAGATTGGCGGTTTCCAAAGAAATAACCCAGTGCTCCATGTGATTTATTTTATTTTACCATTGTAAAGGCTAAATAGTGTTTTCTGTGAAGAACAATTTTACACTTACGAACAAGCTTTCTTTGCAAACTCTTTGCATCTCTGGCTCTCAGTGTACTTTTTGTAAGCATCAGCGAAAACATCAATGTTTACTATAAAAAATAAATTTATATATTTTTTCATCAACATGAACATCATGATAGTAGGTCTTGTGCCTGTTCCTATTAAAAGACTGCAGATCTAGTTATTATTCCTCCAGATGTTCCTGAGCAATCCATCTTTCGCTGGGTCTTCTGACATTTCTTCGCCACATGGGTTTATACTTTAAAACTGCTTTAGGAAATCTTTCTGCTAGCATTTTTCACACATGTGAAAGCCATCTCCTCTGGTTCTCTTTAATGTCATCCACTATGTTTTTTTCATTGAGTTATTTTTCTGATTTCAGTGTTTCTTTGTCAATCTAAATGTGCAATATTTTTTCTTAACATTAAATGCTTCTAAAATATAACAAATATAAGAATTTTCTTAATATTAACAAACCATATTGTGCAGTGTAAGTAAAATGTGCTTTCTATTCCCATCTTTGCACTTAAGCTTAATATTTCCAAATCTAATGTGTAAAGAAAAACGATTTTGGCATCGACAGATAAATGTTAATTTAAAAACCATCACAATACCATCCAACATCTACATTTCGATTTATTTGTAATGACAGTTGACATAAGTCTGTTGTTATAGTGTAATCCAATGAGATTAAATGTAGTGTCGGTACTACAGTGATGTTACTATGGTGACTTTCAAGCTCCCGATTGGATGATACAATTTCAGCTGCTACATTAAGTGCAATTATAAATAAACATATTCATTTGGCAGAAATTGCCAAAGACATTTTGCAAAGAATTAAAAAAATATAGTAATAAAATAAAAATAAAATGGATTAAAGAGATTTGTTTCATATCATTGATAAAGCAAATTAAGAATCAAGCTATATAATTCCTAAATGGAATAGAAATATTGTATAGTTGTCCTAAAAAATATTAGAATCACACTGCAAAATATTATAATTTAAGTGCACTATGTTGTGGATCTCCATTGTCCTATTTCTGTTGCAAAAATGCTCATATCCAGAATGAATTATTAAGCAACTATTCAATTAACATCTACTTCAAAATATTAATTTAATAATTATTTGCAAAATTAAATTTCTAATTTATCCCTACCCCTTTCCAGTGTTCTTTTTTCATTCAAAAAAGCAAATTTCAAGTTTTAAAACAAACTTCATACTTCTGAAGAAAAATACCTTCGACATTTAAAGCAATCTAGAAGGAACAATTACACGATAGGTTAACTTATGTATTCAAATAAATTATGAGTTTTGTTTAACGAACAATATGTAACAGAATCTCCAACTGATTACAATTTTTATGTGCAGGTGCACTTCAACTACTTTTATTCAAAGTACACTTCTGGAGAAATATACATTTCTGAAGTAATTATTAGTTAACACCATTCTGAATGTTGAATAACGAAACTAGCACTAAAATATTCCAAAATTTTAATACTCTGTATACTTTTAATACAATATTAGTACAGAATAAGTCGTTACTCATTTTCCTCTACCAAAATTTTTGATTCTCAAATTACGTAAAAAAAAAAAGAAGTGCGCTTCTATTTAAAAACGATTTGTTTCATAGCTTTATTAAAACCGCCTACTTAAATCTGTAAGCATCATTATTTCAATTTTACAAGTCTCTTTTTAAAAATTTAAAATAATTTCTATCATCACCAATATGTTAATATACCAACCTGGATATGCTCTATATGCTCCTGGTGAATTGTCTAAAATGAATATGCTTGCAAGATCCCCACAAATAGCTGAGAGGTCCTTGGTGTAGCTTCCAAGCTCAGGTGTGCAATGTTGACGATAGTATCGCCTCCTCAAAATTCCACGATTGTTGTCTAATTTGTCAGCAACAGCAGCACCATAAATTTCCATGCTGGCAGTAAAAACTACTAACTCATACCATTGGGATACCTAAACAAAAAAATTAGGCAGGTATAATGAAACCGCTCTTTTCTAATGAAGTTCAAGTTGCAATGAACTTTTATTGCTTGTACATACTTATACATAAAAAGGGCATGCTTACAATATCGAGGAAATAATCAACATGAGGCCGTTTATGTACAAAGAATCGTACAGGATGCCTATCTATAGTAACTTTCAATACAAAATCTGCAGGAGTTCCAGGCTTTACAGTTTGCCTGACTACACCATCATGGTGTGAATGAATTAAAGTTTCATCCAAGTCTAATACCAAGACTTTTCGTTTTACTAAACCTGCAACAATAAAGCAACCTTTTACTCAAAATAAATACGTAGCAAACTTCATTATTCAACAGATACCTCACCTTCATGGCAACAAGCACATACATGAAACAAAAGCAAAAGCAATTTTTATGGATACTTATTCTGAAACTTGAATTTCACATATTTTTTCTTTAATTAATGAGATTTTAATTTTTTTTTAATTGCCTCAAAATCTTCCTGCTGTATTAAATATAATTTTACAGTGTTCATGAAAATGAACTGTGTATGTACAAATAAATGTATGGACAGAACATAAATTATAAACAGAAATTATGGACAGATCTTAAGATTGAAAACTTTATTTCTTTCTACTCATGTCATCATTCCCTTCGAATTACGATTTTTGAGAAGATAGAGAGGGAAGATAAAACTCATCAGATTTGAAATGACTCGTGAATGTAGTCAATGAAATTAGAATCTTATCTAATCTAAACTGATGGAAACGATAACCAACTAATTCGCGTATTGCGCTGGGGATTTCATCATGACAGTACAATGACACGCACAGAACTCGAGGACGTTTTTTTGCAACGTGTATCCTACCATATTCATTAGTTTCATAAAGAAGTGCATAGAATTCCATCGCGAATGCAAAAAAAAAGTTCCTTTTTCTCAAGAGGTACATTTGCCGCCGAAATGAAGAATAGCTTCCTTCTAAAACAAACAAACAACTAATGGTTGGCTTCACCCAAAATATGCGGATGCAAAAATGATACCAACAAGGAGAGCTGAAGAGCAAGAGGGAATTTACAGTTCAAGGGAGAAATAGACCAGACGAACAAAACAACTCCACGATTACGTGCTTCTCACGGGCGACACCAGCTAGACTGTCGATATGACGGAAAACGGCCCTGTACCAAATAAAATAGCTAAACACACGATGTATGAAATAATATAAAACAAAATTAGAATAATTAATCACTATGGATGATTATGAACGATTATTCCGTTTTTCAATTCAAAAAATTATTTGTGACAGGAAAGTCATTCATAAAACTAATAGCTGACAAATAAGTTTCTCTGACGACGTACCTTGGACTAAATACCGAAGTAAGAAAAATAAGTTATGAAATACACGGAATTAGGAACTAAAGGCGAACTGGGATCCCAGAGAGGCAAAACTACGTATTCCAACGGAATAAACAAACAAAAAATATTATACGGTTCTTAAAACTGATTAACTTACTAAGTCTGTGTCTTGAGAGAGGGGAGAGTGGAAATATTTCATATTTGACTGGCTGATGCTGCACCACCTGTGGACAATAAACAATAAATGCCTAAAAGAGGTGTACCCAAAAAAATATACCACTAATGTGGTGAATATTTATGACTTGCACAATTATGAACAGTGTACCACTGAAATGACAGCTCATGCTGTTAATTCAAAAGTAAATTGGCTTATCTAAGGTTTCTTAGAGGAACCTTAAGACATCTAACAATTTGCATATAATGGTATTTGCTGTTACATTAAAAATGTGTGTATGTGTGTGTATGTATGCATGTATGTATTTATATATATATATATATAAAGTATATCACTAATATCTTTTTAAAAAATTCAATTTTAACATGAAACTAAAAAGAGCAAAATTACTTAGCAGATTCAAGAAATTGACAATTATCTAGTATCCACTACCAAGTAAAAGTAAAAAAAATACAGACCATATGGTAATCAAATGTGCAAAATGAATATAAAAGAAAATATCAAACTAATGTATAAATGCAAAAGCAAAAAGTAAGAATAGGTTAAAATACTGACAAACTAATTACAAAGAAAATAATCATTGAAAAAAGAAAGTTGTAAAAAGTTTTAAAAATTGGGATTGCTCCAGATACTGTAAATTAATAATATATTAACACAAACAAATCTGAGATTAAAATTATGCATTCTTCAAATTCACAAAACTGATCTAAGGAGCCCCTTAATCTAAATAAAACAAATGGAATGTTTTCTTCCATTAGGAAATTCTTCAATTATCTAAATCTTTGTGCAATGCTGAACGGTAATCATATTTGCAATCAAGGAAGATTTAAGAAAAAAAATTGCATTTTCACAATTATCAAATACAATTTATAAAATTAATTAAATCTATTACTTTCTTACTTTACGAAGTTCTCTACCCCTATTGATTATTTAATTTAAAAACTAATAGGAACTACCACATTCAATGAATTCTCATACTATTATAAATTTCACATTATGCTTTGAATTAATATGTCGATTAATTTAACTGCTACTTGATATATAAATAAAAAACACAGGCATACCCTGGGCTAACGCAATTCCAATATATTCCTATACTTGGAACGATACGGATGCAATAAGTTTTTAATACTACACACTAACCACACATCAAGACAACTGCTTTCTTTAACGAATCATCAGAACTCGCCGAACGCTCAAAAATGCTTTGTAGAACTCTACAAGATAGTAATAGGCGAGATGAATAAATAAATGAACATTTCAACATAGCATAAGGGAAGTATTATTCAATAAACAGGTAACTGTTCAGACTACAGTAAATTGCTTCTAACCTGAGATATGGGCGAGTTGCAAAATTATTTTCAACTAGACACACTATTCACGTACGATTTATCATACAAATTTACTTACTGCTCTAACCTGCTTCTTCAGTAAGTAACAAATACAACTCCAGACTCTTGACGCCAGTAATAAGAACGCACGAAGGCCCATTTGCAATTGCTTCAGCATTGGTGAAGTCTTTAGAGAACGTCTCTCAATCAAATATTAAAAAAACTTAATATAACACTAACTTTCAGGAGAATATAAAGAAAACGATCACATTTCTAAAAGCACCGAAACACTCTACTAACCGCCATGATCGACCCATTTCCTTCGCGCAGCACTGATGCGCATGTCAAAAAAGTGTTCACACTTTCGCCACTAGAGAGCAGTACGGCTGAGGACCACAAGATACACGCACTGCGCAACATTTGAACACCAACATTGTGTGTACGAAAAATTGTCATTTTTATTTATTTTTTTGTTTTTCAAAATGTCTAGTGTACGAATCAGAACACATACATTTAATTCGGAAATATGATATTCAGGGCTGTTAAAACGGCCCTGATATTGAATATTATAATATCTGTAGCTCTTTTTTCGATGTATATTTGCAGTTTCCAATACTGTGAATAGAAAATTACCTATCAAATTTAAAAAATGCTCGCTTCCATCTTTTAATCATAATTATGAATCCATTATTATGAACGGAATGGCAGTTTAAACCATAAAAGATAACATCTTTTAAACACACGACCTAGTATAATTTCCCTCTATTGACTTTCGTATGAATACTGTTAAACTAAATTAGTGTGTGTCCTCCCGACTGTATTTTTATATTAAAACATTTCATTTGTTTTTTGCAAGTTCACAATAAAAATAAACGTATTACAGTTCCCGGTTCGTCCATTTTTGTGTGTATTTTGATTGAATTATTTTATGTCAAAATCAGTTAAAAAATGTATGTGACGTGATACGGGAAGAAGTGTATTCTGAGCACGTTTTCATAATTCTGGGATCCCTATCCTAAGCCATATACAAGATGAATTCTGAATATAGCAAGAAATGAGTGTTTTTTGGTAAGAATTGAAAATATTCGCTCCGATGTAATAAAATATATTTTCAAAGGCAAATCAGCTGTAGATTTAGGCTCGTATCCTTCGTAATGACCTTTGTGGAGGAATTTACTTCCTGCCGCGACAACAAACAGAACGATAATTTGAATAACTATATTTCCCACAACTCTAGAAGAGGTGCTCAGCTAGTGAAGTTATGTACAGAAACAAAACAAGAGATCTTCTCAGCGTTCGCTCTAAGGATCAAGGAAACTGGTATAATAAAAAAACTGAACGAGAAGTGGGTCATTGACCCAGCAGCTGAGGTGTGTTCAATACTTGTTACAGGTTGTTTAGAACCATACAGTCCAAATGATACATAATACATTACTTATCATTGTTAAAATTAATATTTATTTCGTTTTTGATTCTCAGTATACTCTCTAATTGTGTAGAACAGTTATGCAGCAGAAAAGATATTACTTCGGACTGGAACTTTGTAATCAATTTTAATTGTTTAATGTCATTTGGCTAAGTGTTGTAAAATATTGCGCGTCTATTGTTTGTGATTTTAGTAGTAAGCATAGAGGAGAGATACAATACCTCTACTCTATGGTAGTAAGCTGTTCTTTACTGTCACCTGATGAATACGATTACAACGTTGAGTGTTACAGTTATAGACATCGGCATGTGTTGAAAATATATTCCTATCATTAAGTCATTTTTGACAAAAACAACTAATTCGGAAATCAAGAGACACGGTAAAAGTAAGATTCATAGAATAATAAAGAGAAACTTAAAATAATTACGTGGGAGGAATTTACTTATTATTAAAGCCCAGATATTTATGGCATGTCATTTTTTCTTTGCATTATTTTCATGGAGAATGTACGTTAAGCATTATATTATGTACAATGACAAATTATGAGACAAATTATTTTTCAGATGTCTAATAAAGTCATATTTTGTTTTTTTTTAACTCTTTGGTCATTTTTCTTTATTACTTTTCTGTATATTCATATTATGGTCATATTTTCCATGAATTATCGTATTATTTATCATATTTTATCTTTTTGATTTCATTTTCGCGTACTTGCTTGCGTGGTCGCAAAGAAATTTATTATATCCCCTACAGGTTATCTAATTTTTTAAATAGTATATAAAAGAAGGCTCCAAGTCCAGATTTTTTCATACCATATATTCTCAATTTTGAAATACTCTATTTTTTAAAATAAAATTTCAATTTTAGCAATAGGGTTATTTCAAGCAAAAAACAAAAAATGTGTGAGTATATATGTACGAAGGTCACTCGAAAAGTTTCGAGAATGAGCAACAATGAGTTACTCAGCAACAATGAAACTATTTCCTTTGTTAGGTGGAACTTTTAGTAAGAAACTCGTGCAAGTTTGAACACGCTCGGGTAATTTATTAACTTAAATGGGCTACTTGTGTTCTATTAGTTGTTCCTCTGCCAGTAATGATGGACCTAAAGAGTGAGCATTTCAGAGCCATGATTTTGCATGACTTTAAGGTTGGCTTAGATAAGAATTCGTGCCTCGAGTGATTACAGCGTGCGTTTGGCAATGGTTGCCCTTCACAAACCATTGTCTATCGATGGTTTGCCAAATTCAAAAGTGGAAGGGACTCTGGAAGATGAAGACCGTTCTGGCAGGCCCAACGCAGCAACAACGGATGAAAATTTTCTGAAAGTGGAACATTTTCTGCGGGAAGACCCTCGTTGTACATATGCTCAGATTCAGGAAGCTTTAAATGTTGGATCAGCAGCAGTGAGACAGATCCTGAAAGAAAAGCTTCACGTTAGGAAGCTGTGCTGTCGCTAGATCCCTCACAATCTGTCAAATGAACAAAAAAGGGCGCGAGTGGATTCGTGTCGTGAAACCCTGGATAAGTTCAATGGATGAAGATCAAAAAACATTTTTAACATCGTGACGAGTGATGAAAGCTGGATTTATCAATTTGATCTAGAAATAAAACGGCAGTCATCAGTGTGGGCAGTTCCCAGATGAAAATCCTCCAACGAAAGTGAGAAAACCCAGAAGCGTTGCCAAAATGATGATTTGTTCTTTCTTCTCTGACAGTGGCCATATTGTGACTGTGCCACTCGATGAATAAAATACAGTCACCGCAAGATGGCACACTACAATTTGCTTGCCCAGATTGTTTGAAGAGCTGAGAAAGAACCGTCCAAAATCAGGTTTGCGTGGAATCCTGCTCCACCATGACAATGCCTCATCCCACACAGCCAGAGCAACAACTGAATTTCCGACAGAATCAAGGGTTAAAAACTGTCTCATCCACCTTACAGTCCAGACCTGACCCCGTGTGACTTTTTTCTTTTCCCTTATGTGAAAGAAAAAAATCGAGGCCATCGTTTCGAGTCAGCTCAGGCTGCAGTGACTGCATATGAAGATCAGATTCGTAGTGTCTCTAAAGAAGTATGGCAATCGTCATTTGATAATTGGTTAAATCAGATGGAACGTAGCATAGAGTGTGTTGGAGAGTACTTCGAGAAGATGTGAAGGTAAGAACTTGTTATCTTGATTTTAAATGTAGTATTCCCAAAACTTTTGGAGTGAACTTCGTATAAGATAAATAGTAAAATTATTCATTAAATATCAATTTTATATCGTGAAATTATAGGAATACAACAATAAAAACCTTTTATAAAGAAACGAAAAGAAAATAAGCTTTTATGCATTTAGTGTATTCACGACGCGCGATTCCTATTTTAGCCGTAAATAAAATTATATGTTTATATTAATGCGAAGCAATCATTATGTTCCGTCATTATAGCCTTGCTTGATATCAGTGCAATTAAAACAATGATTTCATAATTATAAAAATACATTTCCTTTCAAGATTCGATGTACGCCATCAGAGCTCATTTCACCTTGTGCTTAATTAAAACCAAATCAAAATTTAAATTCATATTGACATCCACATATGTCCTGCGGTTTGTCATTTACCACCTCTTTCACACACACGCACGCTCTCTCTCTCTCTCTCTCTCTCTCTCTTCTCTCCTCTCGGTCCTCTCTCTCTCTCTCTTCTTCCTCTTCTCTCTCTCACTCCTCTTATCTCTCTCGCATCTCTCTCTCATCTCTATCTCCCTCTCTCTATCTTTATCTCTATCTCTCTCTATCTCTTTCTCTCTCTCTGTCTCTCTCTTTCTCTCTCTCTTTCTCTCTCCTTTCTCCTCTCTCCTCTCTCCTCTCTCCTCTCTCCTCTCTCCTCTCTCCCAACAACCGCCTGTCAATGAGAGAATATTCTGTGATCCTGTGAACTTCACGGCGTACCGCAACGTTTCTATCGTTAGATTGCAATTTCATAACCAGAGTGACCAGATAGGTGAAACATGAATCTCATATTATCGTAATTCAAATAAAAGTTTGAACACAATTATTTTCAATAGTGAATTATAATCAAAACGATAATTATAATAAAAGGAAGTACATTATAATTAAAATGAAAGTCTGACACACCGCGCACATATCCATCATGATAAATCTTTGAAATCTAAGAAATTAGAATGATATTCCAAATTAATCACCTGGATATTACTTTGCTCTTCGAGCAAATGGTTGCGAGTAATCTTGTTCTTCCACGGCAATATACGCAATATTTGTAACGCGTATATTTGTAAACGCAATATTTGTTTTGTACTTTGTATATTACAAGGATATTAATGTACTTGTACATTAAATTTAATGATTAAATTAAAATCAATGTATATTGAATGTACGACTTATATAAAACGTAATGTACCTTGTACACTAAAACGAGGTTAATGTGTTTGTACATTAAATTTAATGTTTAAGTTAAAATTCACGCAGATTTGATATATAATTATGGAACCTAGTTACTGTTTAAAAATTTAGAAATATTTCATTACACTATTTTAACTAACGTATAATAAATGTGTACGATTTTTAATATTAAGTTAATCAATGAGAAGGTATTTTCAGAATATCCAACTGCCTTTGTCACTCAAATTACTTTTACAAACTGACACCGCCTCAAACGAAGCGCTGGAAATTTGAATTTACCATTTCAAATTCTTTTTCAACTTACGCAAAAAATACTCACTATTTTGAACAATTTCATAAGACCTTATTTGAAGATCTGTTTTTTTTATTAACACATTCCATGAACAAAAAATATATCTTCATAATTGTAGTTGTAGAAAGACACCGAAAAAATGTTGAATTTTAAAAAAATTCGTGTCTTCGGGAAATTTGAAAAATGAGTCTTCAACCACCATGAGACCTTCACTTTTCT